AATATGATGAGGAGGAGGATTTTAATGAGTATAGTTGAAGTTACGAGAGGGAAAAGACTGTATATGCCCTAGATATACTGTAATTACTGTGCATTCATAGCATGAACATCTTTAGATATCCGAGTAGACGCTGCTAGTGGAAAGATTAGAGGAAATGTACACTTGAGACTCGAAGTAGAATTTTATGAAAGAGGCAAATGAGGAGTAGAGATAGAATTTTCGTTGATAAATCAAAACCATTTATAAATACTGTACAGTACTTCAAGTGTGCATGTCTCTAATTCAGTGTAGTGTTTTGCTGTCACAAGACTTGCGGATATAAATGAGTTGACTTCCATTATTCTTGTTTTAGTCAATATGTTTGTGTAGATTTTATTTGCATATTTTTTTTTTGTTATCTTTATTTGTCTATTCTTATAAAACTTTGTGCATGTGTTTTACCCATGTAGATGGGAATGGAGTGAGGGAGGCCATTCACTGGGTGAGTTCAATGAGTGATTTCACCTCATTAAGGTCGCTTGTTGGTGCACACACAACCTGTGCTCACCAAAATATTGACAATATTGGTGAGTATATTTTTTTTCCTGTTTTTACTTTTAGCCATATTTTATCAATGTATATACATATTTTACAGTTTTGTGCTTAATTAGGCTTATAACAAGTTGCCCATAAACATTCACACACAGCATGCACCAAAACATTCACACCATTGACACAGTGTGCCTAAACATTCACCTACAAAAAAAATGTTCCTGCTCACATGTGCATGGAAATGTACATTTGCATCTACAGGTACTGAAGTATTTTTGTCTATATACATAAACATGGACAGTACTATTTATATGCATATACAGTGGTACCTCAGCTTACAAATTTAATCCGTTCCCAGAGACGGTTCGTAAGCCAAAAATTCGCAATCCGAAACAAATTTTTCCATGACAAATAATGTAAATTGAAGTAATCCGTTCCACACTCCCAAAAATATTAACTTCAAAATAAATTTCATACCTAATTCACCCAAATATTTAATACTATAGTATCTTAACTTGAGATGATTTCGGGGCTGTGCATCCCCGCTGCCCGGTTCTTGATCAGGCATCCTTTTTGTTACACACCCCCAGGAAGCAGCCCGTAGCAGCTGTCTAACTCCCAGGTACCTATTTACTGCTAGGTAACAGGGGCATCAGGGTGAAAGAAACTCTGCCCATTTGTTTCCGCCTCCACCGGGAATCAAACCTGGAACCTCAGGACTATGAATCGCTCAGCTGTCAGAGCCCCAGATCAGTATGTACAACTCCAAGGAGTGCAGGACCAACCGGGCTGTGGTGGGTATGTGGGCCTGCGGGTTGCTCCAAGCAACAGCCTAGTAGACCAAGCTCTCACAAGTCAAGTCTGGCCTCGGGCCGGGCTTGGGGAGTAGAACTCCCAGAACCCCATCAACCAGGTATCAAGGTGTTAGTGTTTGGAAGGGGAGTTCCCTTCCATTATAACATCAGGCAGTGAGGACTTCTCTGGGGTATGCTCTGTCCTACATTTTGCCTGCATACCACTAGGACCTGGTTGTGGCTCACTGCTTGTCTGTCTCTCTAAGAACCTTCCCATAGAGACTTGTTTTCCCTATGTTGTAACATTTGTCTGCAGTGAGGCATCACAGTATCATTAAAGAAGCTAAGGCAACGGCCTACTACAGCTTGCTCCGGGTGAGTTGTTTCAACAAAAGTTTGCATTTTTTCCCAAAGTCTACACCACTTCTTAATTGTTGGAGAAGGGGCATTTTGTACTGCCTCCTCCTTCCATGAAGAAATTTCCTCAGCTGCCTCTCGTTGCTTCTTGTGAAGGGCTAGGAGTTATTCTGTGGTCAGTTCTTCGCTGTGTTCCTCCATCAACTCACAACACACAACACTCACAACTCTCACAACACTGTGAATGCCACTTCTATTTCTAAATTTCGCAAACCATCCCCTTAAACTCACCTTAAACTCTTTCTAATCTGCAACACTTGTTCCAGGGGTTTTCTTTAATAGGACTTCAAGCAATAGCCTTGCTTTTTCACAAATGATGGCCTCTGAAATGCTATCACCTGCTAACTCCTTGTTGTGTATCCAAATTAATAACAATTCAACATCCTCAAGTGTTTGTGTTGTTTGTTTCGTGATTGTTGATATGCCTTTTGCCACTTTAGTACTCATAATGTTCTTTTTCTTGGCAATTACAGTGTATATCGTTGACAGATTTGTTTTACTGCCTAGCTAGTTTAACAACCCGTGTACCATTTTCATGTTTACGAATGATCTCTTGTTTTTGCTCAATGGTCATCCTCACATGTGTTTTTTAGGTTGAACCTTACCACTGACTTTTTTGGAACCCATGGCGGGATATATAATAATTACTTTTACGTTCAAAACCCAAAAAGGCCGAAAAACAATGAAATTCCTTACAAAGAATTCATGCGCGACCGTCACTAAGCGGGAGGCACTGGTAAACTAAAGTGCGAGAGACTGTGCCACCAGGAACCATGCGCAAGATCGTCCACATGGGTATCAACAAAATACGTTACCCGAGGCAAAGCTTGTAAGCCGATTCACATTTTATGAAGAAATTGGGCTCATAACCCGAAAAGTTCGTAAATAGGGGCATTCGTAAGCTTAGGTGTCACTGTATGTATGAACATGTAAACAAACATTCACATGCATAAAAATACTCACATACCCATATTTAAGTACAGTATGTATATTGTACATGAATTTACATACCATACACCGATGTTTTGTATATATGTATACAAATATATTCAAACAATTATAGATGCATGCTTGCATACCACAAGGCAATTATGTTGCCCTGATCATGTAATTATAAACAGGTAATCATGCACAAACATGCACTTGGAGGATAACATCAGCGGTGCATGCAACATTGGCAAATGCCAGAACCTGAATCTCGACAATGTCATTTTCTGTTTGTAATACTGTACAACACGCATTTGAAGAAAATATAACAGACGATAATATGAAGTCCCTCTCCTCCTCAAGCACTAGGAGGCTTTAAAGGCTCACAAAATTTAACACCAGGCTGATCCCTGAGATTAACTCTTAGGCCACTAAGGGCCTTTTGACCTTCAACACCACAGGCGCAAAAAAAAAAAAATGGTTGGGGGTCCTTCCCATATAGTCTGGATAATCGAGTGGAGACAGTACTGACATATCAACATAGTGGATAGAGGCAAGTTGTTTGATAGGCGAGAGACTGTGGCGAGGGAATGCAAGTGAAAAGTTAATTGCCAGAGAGATAATAAGACTGAATTCCTTAATCACTGAACTGCGCAATGCACCTGCAGGCCCTCGACGGGGGGGAGGGGGGGGGGGCACGCAACGCGCCTCCCGGGTATTTTTATTTTTAGCGTATGATTCAAAACTCCCACGGCTACATGGGGTTCACATCAGCTTCCTCAGGGCTCTTGTAAACAGACGCCATTAAAAAAAAAAATCGTGGGCAACATTCCTGGGTGTGAGAGCCTCAGTACTGAGTGAGCAACCAAGGCTGATACACGCAGCATGAGCTCACAGCACTGCTGTTCAGCTTGTGACCACAGCATCGCCTAATAATGTCAAAATATATAACTGGTATTATTTAGCCATGATAGTATTACAGTAGAGCCTGTATGTGATAATGACTGTGTACAATGTTCAAATATCAGTGAATCAATGCTGTTCATGATGTTCACAGCGCTAGCTACAGCACCACAGCATTATTTCGTCCATCTTGGAATCTTCAAATGACTTCTTATGTTCCTTTACAAAATAAACTTGTGGTCAATTATTCATTTACAGGATTTAGTGACCAGGATTGTGATAATAGCAGGATTGTGGTGATAATTAGTGCTGCATGTAATATTGTGGGAGAAGGAATTTTAGTGAGAGAGGGAGGGAATTGAGGTAGCCTCACTGTGTGTGGCAGCCACTCTTGTTTTGCCCACCATACTAGCTTAGTGGTTCGTTACGGCGAACACATGTACTGTATATATATTAACAAACAAAGTGTTGTTTTTGGTGGAGATCTTGGTGTCTTGTAGCACCTTTTCATTGCTTTTTGGGTGGTTTACTTTTGGTACTTAGTTGATCTCTCTGATCCCCTTGTAGAGGAGGCAACTTTTATTGCCAGTAGGCAATGAAAGTGTCACATGTACAGAACTTTGACTAGTCTGACTGGTATCGGCCACTGCTAGTGTTGTAGACAATTTGCTTCTGCATGCAAACTGAAAATACATGTTTATGTTTGTCATTCAGAAAATTTGCAAGTGTTTTTTCTGTATTACTGTAAAGAATACTCAAGTACAGTATATTTACTAATATGGGGTTAATTAAAAGTGATTTTCATTGAATAATTTGGAGTTGAGCTTACCCAACACATTTTCAGAATGGATTTATTAAGGTGGTATTTTTATTGCTGTTGATGGCTTGTTTTGTAAGAAAAGACATGGAAATGCTTACTTGATATATAATATTTGCAATGACATGTAAATGGTATACCTGTACTATAATATAACTGAACCATATCTAACGATGCTTGAGGAAACAAAAACACAGACAACATAGCTCATAACATGATACTTACAGGAATCCATAAGAAAGATAGATATTTGATGTCTGATACCTCTGATACCAAGAGAAGGCACAAGTGAAAGCTGAACACTTGAGTGAATCAGAGATGTAAGAGATAAGCAAAGTTACTACAGACATCCTGCACTGTAGATGCACAAAATGCACTTTCTTCGCACCCCATTCTCTCTTTCCCCTCCTTACCCCCATTCTATCTTTCCTATCACCACTTGCTATTGCAACCTCCATTCCTCTCTTCCATTTTTTCTTCCATCTGTTGGTCTCTCTTCTCAACCCTTTCTCTGCTTCCATATTCTACTCCACCTCCGTCTTCTTTTATATTTTAATGTGACATTTTTTCTATATATCTGTGGAAAAATCATTTCCATTTTCTCTTTACAGCCTGGAAAATTATGTCCCCATGCTAAAAAAGCCATAAACATTAGTATTCGGTCTGGCACCCTTGCAATCTTGATCGTGGACATGATAGAACACCTTGTGAATGCGGAGCACCCACTGGCTGTGACCTTTGAGAGTATGCACCTGAGCATGACCATGCTCTTCTTTTGTATGTTGGGCTGCTACCTCACCTGCATCACTGTCAGGACCTGCTCGGTGAGGAGCTGTCGTCTGTTCTCTTGCTTTCTTATGTGCAAATAGGTAAAGTATTTGATTGTATAAAAGCTGTAGTGTGTCTTTTTGAATGTTCCAGATGCAATGAAAAATGTTTCCTCATTATTGTAATTAACTTGTGTTCATTAATGTTGAAATGTAATTTGCCAGAAATTTAAGATTCGGTAACAATTCTATTTATAAATGCTTAATTATAAATTCAGACTATCCTTTCAAAGACAGTTAATGTTTTTAAGTTTATATAAAAAGGATTATTTATGGTAATTTGCATTTTGTTGTCATGTGAAAATATATTTACTAAGGAAGCCAACATCACTGTCTGAACGTAATGATAGTGGCCATCCTTTTAACAAAAGATTCTGACTAGGTTGAAGTGAATACAACAAATACAGCACCCGATCTTAAACAGAAGTCAGTACTATAGAGGATCTTGCTTTAAAGAGCAACTGAGTAGTAGTGCTCAGAAGCACTGATTTCATTCAATCGATTTTATTATTCATTTTGTTTTCCATAATTGTGGATAGGAAGCCTGTTAAGATTTATTGAGGTACCCCAAGGTCAACTACTGATGACCTTCCTCAGGTTGCAACCCAGAACAGTTGCCTAACTCCCAGGTACATAGTTACTGCTTGATGAACAGGCACATTAGGTGAAACAAAACAATGCCTAAACACCTGCATCCTACAATGGGAATTGAACCCAGGACCTTTTTTGGCTGTGACCCAATTAAGCTTATCCTTGTGCCACAGGACCCTGGAAATGGGCAAGATTACTACCAAGTACTGAACACTAATAAGGTGTTCAGTAGGAAAAACACCAATAAGGAAGATGACTATTTTTGGTGATGCTTCACTCGGCCATTAGCTTTTGACTAGAGAAAATTTGAGGCTTGGTGAAGCTCAGTGTTGTACAAATAATAGCAAATATGTTCTGTTTTGTTCTATTTTCTGGGGAAGCCCCGTTGACTCCCCGGAGCTATACAGGCTGATATGCTAGTGTCAGACTCTGGCATCAGTCATGTGTATGGAGTTCTGTGGGCCTACCGGGGACCACGAGCCAGAACCTGGCCCCCTCAGAGAGGCAAGGGGAGCAATGGCCTATAGAAACCCCGTGTGATTGGAAGCATTCTATGTCTGCCATCGACCGGGTCGGGCACCCAGAAAGGTAAGTGTCCAAAAACAAACCCCTATTCTGGTTAAAATTGCTACCTAACGCCGAACTAGTGGATAGAACTCCCCAAAAAGATACGAGCAAACTAGCATGACGTCTGTAGGGGCTCCCCACAGAAAACCAGCGTTGAATGTAATGAAAGGCCATTTTCTGAGTGAGCCCCGAAGGCTCCCTGGCAACCCTCCCTCCCACCGGTCGGCGGTTTTTTCACGTTGGTTGAAGCTTAGCTTCCGAATGGATGCTAGGCAGCCGGCGTGGTGAGGTCCGGGGCTTCCCCTTCCCCCTCTTGGGGCGGGGAGGGCTGCGTGGACGATCGGTGCGGCAGTAAAGTGTGATGTTTGCTTATTTACTTGGGATTGTAGGGAATTTCTACCTCTCTGTTCGTTTTTTTGTTTTAGTTTTCACCATGTGGGGTTTGTTTTGTTATGCCTACCTTTCTGGTTGCCTAACCTCGGTCGATGGCAGATAAAGAAAACCCCAACCACAAGGGGGTTTTCCAGGGCCATTGCTCCCTGAAACCTCTCTGAAGGGGCCAGGTTCTGGCGCTGGTCCCTGGTAGGTCTGAACTCCATAGCTAATGTCCCAGTCTAATATAACATACATTAGCCCAATGAGCTCCAGGGAGCCTCCGCAGCTCACCCAGAAAATGACGTTTCATTACATTCAACACTCATTTTTTGGCAGTCCTTCCTTTTCCTTCTGTCCCTTTTTAGGTGGCTGTGTTTTGTTGGCATTGTCTTGCTCCTCTCTTGTGGGTGTTCGTGGCCGTCATTTTGCTGCATACTGTTGCCTCGCATCGTGCAGCTCTGGCGGAGCCGCTTTCGCTTGCGTTCAGTATTGATGTTACATCTAAGCCCTTCCGCAAGCTGTCTCGTGCGCACCTCTAACCTGCTCATGCACCGCCTGTGCCATCCTGGTCTTTGGGCAGAGTGCTCATTTCTTTCTTCTCCTCGGTTTATGGTGACCCCTCCTGTTCTGGTTTTCTGCTCCTTCGGATGGGGCAGTAGGTTTGTTCGTCTCCAGCCGTCTCCTTTTTGTCTGACAAAGATTGAGACTGCTGTTTTCCGGAGGGGTCCTTGGGTTTTTGATGGATGGTTGATTAGGCCGGGGGTGCATCATGTTTTGTGGCCCGTGGCAGTTCTCTGCCATTTTTTGCTCACCTCGGCTTCTGTGTCCGTGGATGCATATTGGGTTGCTCCGGTTTCCCTTCTTCCCGGTCCGCAGGTGCGGGTTTCCCAGGTTGTCTGCAGGATTCTTACGGCTAGCCAGCCTGCGGTCTATCCCCGTGCTCCTGACATTCATACGCTCACGGCTCTTGCCACCGTTTTTGGCAACGTGGCCTGGTTTGATATTCAGGCGCAGGGTTTTTGGCGGTCGGACAGGGTCCTGGTTGCTCGTGGTCTCGTACTCGTTCCTGGGTCTAGTCGGGCCTGTGTCGCCTTGGGTCGGCAGTTGCAGCCAGTTGTCTCGGTTTTGAGTTGCAGAGCATGCAGCGATCACCTCCCGGATGTGTCCCTCTACTTTCCTCTGTGGGTAGTTAGCTCCTGGGAGCCGACGGGGCTCCCTCCAAAAAACCAGCGTTGAATGTAATGAAACGCCATTTTCTGGGTGTGACCCAGAGGCTCCCCGGCATCCCTCCCTCCCTCCGGTCGGTGGTTTTTGCGTTTTCTTGATATCAAGCCTCAGAACTGGATTGCTGGTGTGGGAGTCTGGGGCTCCCCCTTCCCCCTCCTTGGGAGGGGGGAGCTGCGCAGACAGCGGCGCGGTGTTGTGTGACGTCATGCTAGTTTGCTCGCATCCTTTTGGGGACTTTTATCCACTAGCTCGGCATTAGGTTGCAATTTTAACCAGAATAGGGGTTTGTTTTGGGACATTTTCCTTTCTGGGTGCCCAATCCGGTCGATGGCAGACATAGAATGCTTCCAACCACACGGGAGTTTCTATAGGCCAATGCTCCCCTTGCCTCTCTGAGGGGGGCCAGGTTCTGGCTCGTGGTCCCTGGTAGGCCCACAGAACTCCATACACATGACTGATGTCAAAGTCTGACATTCGCATATCAGCCTGTATAGCTTCGGGGGACCTCCGGGTTGCACCCAGAAAATGGCATTTCATTACATTCAATGCTTTTTTTTTTTTTTCTTTTTATACAAGAATATTGCTCATAGACTACATTCTGACCTTATGATAAGATAATCTGCTTATTTAATACTTAGGGTATTCATGGCTGTCTGACTGTTACATTTTAGAATTGTTTTACAGTTACTCAAAAATGTTTGCAACCTAATCTAGATGTCTAGAATAACGCTGAACTAAAACTAGCAGATGCACTTCTGTCATTAAAGTGAAACTCATCAATAAATTTCAGAGTAATTGTGACACATTGCTGTATTTGTGACACAACATTGTTATATTAGCAGGTAAGCTATTTATTTTGCATTACAGTACTTGATGGAAAAAGATTTAAAAATGAGGACCAGATTTAAAAACAAAAAATATGTATCCCTCTGAATTCGTTCAAAACTTTTGTTATGATGGTTGCAGGCAATGGTTGCAGTCATTAAGAAGGGTCCAACTTATGCTGAAGAAACACAGTGTCAAGAAGTGGTGGTTCTTATTGTCACCTGGATCTGCTTTTCATTGAGTGCAGCTGATTTTGTCATCAAGCGTGTAAGTTTACTCCGGTAGATCGTGTGCCATGAGCCTGTATTGTGGTTTCACATCAGTCATCATTACTGATGATGTATTACTCAACTTTATTTGCATAATTTGCGTATACTGTATACATTACGAAATAGTCAAAAGAAGGTCAAATAAATCTTGTGAATGTTAAGAAATATTATATTCTCAGATCAGGATCCAAATTAAGGCATCCTCTAAAGGTTCTTGTGAGATTATGTCTTCTTCAGTACCAGTCAATTTCAGAATTTGGCCTTGGGTCTTAAATCATAATATAACAATGTAAAATAAAATAACAAGGCAAGTTGTTTTCTTCATTTATTTTACTTTAAAATATTGAATATAAATACACAATTAATTTTCATAGTCCTTTGAATATACAGTAACTATAAAATTTAAGTTAAGCATAATATGTACTGTTCTGTTCTATTTTACATGGATTATGGGCATTATTTGTGCACAGTTGTTCCTCTTTTTTTAAACTCAAATGATTAAAATGCAGTACCTAGTACGTGGTTGATGGGGTCCTGGGAGTTGTTCTACTCCCCAAGCCCATTGCATTGGTGGCGTTGGGTGGCCCCTCCTCCTTTGAGGGGCTTAGGGCTGGCAGGGCGGCCTTCTCATTGACTTGTGAGAGTTTGGTCCACCAGGCTGTTGCTTGGAGAGGCCCGCGGGCCCATATATCCACCACAGCCCGGTTGGTCTGGCACTCCTTGGAGGAAACAATCTAGTTTCCTCTTGAAGATGTTACCTATGGAATATGATATAACAGCTTACTTTAGGGCAACCTGTACAGTATGTATCTTTGTTCTGCTTGCTCCTTCAATTAGAATTATCGAAGGCAATTAGGTATTGTAAAAAATGGCCACCCCATTTCTCAATGTACCAACACCAGTCGTAATCCTTTCGGAAGAAAGAAACTATGGCTCAAGTCCCTGGTCCTTACGTTATAAATATAATATAAGTGAAATATTAAATTGAAGACACCAAAAATCATTAATATTTAATTTTATAACTAGTTCAAATAATGCAATTAATACAATATTGTTGTAACAAAATTAGGACAAATACAATAAGTTGAATGCTTCAGTTTCCCTTCAAGAAGACTAGCATTTCAACATGACTGTCACCAAGGCCTGATTTCTTCAGCTTAAAGACGTCTTACCCCAAAGAGGAGAACCTCTACATGCTGGCAATAGAAGCAATAGGCATACTGAAATTAATGAACAAGTCCTTCATTGCCGGGCTGGGTTGCCATTGAATACTAGGTGACAGTTCTCTGCAGAGATTGTATACAACTGACACTAATTAAAAATAACTATTTGGTGCATAATTTATTCCAGTACTAAATTGGAAATAGACTACAGTATTTCTATTTGTGAATAACTCGCCTTAATACACAGTCCTCTTCTAATTTTTCAAAATTAACAAATGAACTGAAGAACATTGGGCCATCCAGAATTGCTTTAAAATGAATTGTCTGTCCCCATTTTGATCCTGTCTGGAAAAAGGACCAATATTCCTAGTCACAGTCCTCACAATGAATCAGGTTTCAGAAATATGGTCCTTTTGGAACTCATTCCTCTTTCAGTATCAGATGGAATTAGATATTCATACCACACATGAAATTTTAAAGCTTGGTTAATTTTTCTGTCCACAGCTCCATGATGGTATGTGGATGTGGGAATACAGTTTTGGACAATTAGAAATCAAGAATACAGGTGGATTCCTCCTGGGTGTTTACTGCATGTGGAATGTTTACACTTGTGTTTTATTGACTATATACACTCCATTGAAAAAGCCACCAGAACAACAAGGTTAGTTAATTTTATTTATATACTTTTTGTCAGTAAGATTTGTCTCTCTTCACTTTTAGGATAGCAATGTTGACCTACTAGCTGCGCTAATTTTTGAATGAAATATAGAAACTTTAATTTATATTTTGTCTGTTTTCAGTGTGCATTCTTATACCATCTGTACAAAATTAAATGCACTGCTTGATTTTATGGAAACATTATTCGAGGGTTGGGAGGAGGAGGGTATTTATGTAGAGAACATGAGAACATAAGCAGGCATTAATGCAACAATGTAGCGTGCCTGTTGCCCCATTCTGAGCTGTGCCTAACTAAAGCTAATACCTCTTACCCATATATAAAGCTTATTTTTAAAGCTAACTATACCATTTGCCTCAATTATGTTGGCTTGCAGCTTATTCCATTCATCTACCAACCTGTTGCCAAACCAATAATTAATAATATGAAAGCTTTCCTGAATCTGAATTGCTCAAGCTTATTACCATGGTTATGGGTTCTGACCTGAACTGATAGTTTCAAGACCTTGCTCATATCTTCCCTAGTGATACTCCTCATCCACTTGAACTCGATCCTGTTTTCCTTCATCCTGTGCCTCTCCTGGAAATGTAGCCCAATTTCTCTTAACTTCCCCTTGTATAGGTCTCAGATACTGTATCAAGGATCAGTCTGGTCATCATATGTTATGCAACTTTAATCGTATAAATCTACATCATTGATTCAGTAGATGGTACCACTGTCATTTTTGGATCTGCAGACTTGCTTCCATTAGTGTTCATCTCATCATTTAGGTTGTTGACATACATTATGAAAATAAAGGACTCGAAAACAGACCCCTAGGGCACACCACTAGTAATGGTTATCCATTTTTACACAAGTATTTACACTAATTTTCTGGGGGGAAGGAGCTCCTTCAGCTCCCCGGAGCTTATTCAGGCTGATATGGATATGTCAGACTTTGGCATCAGTCAATGTGAATGGAATTCTTAGGCCTACCGGGGATCACGAGCCACAACCTGGCCCCCTCAGAGAGGCACGAGGAGCAATGGCCTATAGAAACCCCCATGTGGATGGAAGCATTCTATGTCTGCCATCAACCAGGTTAGGCACCCAGAAAGATAAGCATCCCAAAACAAACCCCTATTCTGGTTAAGAAACTGCTACTGAAAGCCAAACTAGTGTACAGAACTCCCCAAACAAAAATGAGCAAATGAGCATAATGTCACCACATCACTGCGCCGCCATCTGTGCAGCTTCACCCTTCCCGGGAAGGGGGAAGGGGGAAGGGAAAGTCCCGGACACCTTGCGCCGGCTATCCAAAACCCAGTTCTGAGGCTGAGGTTCCAGAGTCGTCATGGCTGGCAGACTGTCTGTTTATGCTTTGCGGCTCTCGTGTCTGCAGGCGGTACTTGCTTCCTCCTTGGAATCTGCTTGGGCCATGGCTCTTAGGTTGTCTAAACCATTTTGTCCCTTGCTGTTTGCAGATTCTGCAGTTGAGCAGTATCTGCAGGCAGCTTCTTCTAGTTATCATCCAATGTCGGACTTGTTAGGTTTCCATTCCTTCCCGGAGGGATCGTGCCAGGGCTCGGGGTTCCGTTCGTCGTGGTAGGCCACTGGTGCCAGTTTCAGATCCAGCACCGCTTTCGAACTCGTCTTTGTCTGGTTGGCGCAGTGTTCGCCCTGTGCGTGGGTCGGGTTCTTGTAAGGGGGCACCAGTCCTTTTGCTGTTTGTCCCATTGATGGGGTGATGGGGGGGGGAGGGGAGCCTCGCTCTGTTCACTCGTGCCTGGTCTCACAATTTGTGGGCATTTCGGGTCATTTCAGTCGGCCTGCGGTGGCGTTGGGTGGCCCCTCCTCCTTTGAGGGGCTTAGGGCTGGCAGGGCGGCCTTCTCATTTACTCTGTTGGGTCATCTTGGGTCATCTCGCTGTTGTGGTGCATCTCGGATGACTCGCTTGGGCGTGGTTGAAACGACATCGTCTCTCAGATGGGTTTCCCGTCTGTTCCCAGTCCCAAAATGGGACTGCAGACCTGCGCTTCATTCTGGACTTGTCCTGTTTGAACCCCTGGGTTCTTTGCCCATCCTTTTGGATGACTACTCTGTCCCAGGTCTGGTTTCTGTTGGAGCCAGGCACTTGGATGGTATCCCTGGACCTCCAGGACATGTATTGGCACGTCCTGTTTCATCCGGGGTTCAGGGACTGGCTCTGTTTGTTGTGGGGGCATCTCAGTTACGGCTTTGTTGTCTCCTGTTTGAGTTGAACCTGGCACCTCAAGTTTTCACACGCCTTACCCGGGTCGTAGTGGCCCATCTGCGTCTCTTAGGGGTTCGGGTGCTGGCCTACTTCGACGACGGGCTGTTCCCAGCTAGTTCGAGTGTCTGCTCGCCAGGGATTTGGTTCTTTTTCAGCTTGTCGGGTTCGGGTTCCTGGTGAACTGGCGGAAGTCCCATCTGGTTCCCTCTCAGGTTTAGACTTGGGTGGGTCTTGTACTTACCTAGTTGTGCTTGTGGGGTTGAGCTTTGGCTCTTTGGTCCCACCTCTCAACTGTCAATCAACTAATGTACAGGTTCCTCAGCCTACTGGGCTCTATCATATCTACACTTGAAGCTGTGTATGGAGTCAGCCTCCACCACATCACTCCCTAATGCATTCCATTTGTCTACTACTCCGACACTGAAAAATTCTTTCTAACGCCTCTATGGCTCATTAGGGCACTCAATTTCCACTTGTGTCGCCTAATGCGTGTGCCCCTTGTGTTAAATAGTCTGTCTTTATCTACCCTATCAATTCCTCTTAGAATCTTGTATGTGGTGATCATGTCCCCTGTAACTCTTGTCTCCCCCAGTCATGTGAGGTTTAATTCCCGTGGTCTCTCCTCATACCCCTCAGTTCAGGTATTAGTCTGGTGGCAAACCTTTGAACATTTTCCAGTTTAGTCTTATGCTTGACTAGATATGGACTCCATGCTGGAGCTGCATACTCCAGGATTGGTCTGACGTGTGTGGTATATAATGCTCTGAAAGATTCCTTACACAAGTTTCTAAAGGCCATTCTTATCTTAGCCAACCTGGCATATGCAGCTGATGTTATCCTCTTGATATGAGCTTCAGGGGACAGGTCTGGCATGATATCAACCCCCATGTCTTTCTCTTTCTGACTCTTGAAGTATTTCATCTCCCAAATGATACCTTGTATCTGGGGACCTTGCTCCCTAAGCGTAGTAGTGGAAATGACCCCAGTGACCGTCCATTTTGTTTTTTCCCATGGACAGACATTGGGGCCAGGGGGTTAGCCATTTTTTCCCAGGGATAGTCATTGGGGCCAGGGGGATTTTGAATTTGTTTTCCCAAGGACGGTCATTGGAAAGAGAAAGAGACTGCTGCTTTCCGGACGGGTCCTTCGGTTGTTAATGCTTGGCTGGTCGGGCTGGGGATGCATCATGTTTTGTGTCTGGTTGTGGCCCTCCGCCGTTATTTGCACGCCACAGCCGCTGTGTCCAGGGACACGCTTTGGTTTGATCCGGGTTTCCCTTCTTCCATGTTCGCGGGTGTGGGTCTCCCAGGTCGTCTGCAGGGTTGTTAAGGCTAGCCATCCTGCGGTCTATCCCCCATGCCCATGAAGTTTCCAAGTTCACTGCTCTTGCTGCCGTTTTTGGCAACATGTCCTGGGCTGATATTTGGGCGCAGGGATTTTGGCGGTCGAACAGGATCCTGGCTGCGCGTTACCTAGTGAACGTTCCTGGGCCTAGTCGGGCCTGTGTCGCTTTGGGTCGGGGGTTGCAGTCAGTTGTCTCGGCTTCGAGTTGCGGAGTGAGCGGCGACCGCCTCCCGGGTAAGTCCCTTTACTTTTCCTCTGTGGGTAGTTAGCTCTGGGGAGCCAAAGGGGCTCCCCCCCCCAGAAAACCAGCGTTGAATATAATGAAACGCCATTTTCTGGGTGAGACCCGGAGGCTCCCTGACATCCTAACCACTTGTTCGGCTTTTGGTAGCAATTTTCACCAGAATAGGGGTTTGTTTTGGGACGCTTACCTTTCTGGGTGCCTGACTCTGTTGATGGCAGACATAGAATGCTTCCTGTGGGGAACCGACCTGTGAAATTTATATTTATTTAATTTATATGAATTTATATAGAATTTATATTTACATTAATTTATATATTTCAATAGCAATTTGTATGATGTTTAGCGGACTGTATATCTGCAAATTCTCACAAATCGATCTTTACACATTAGGGGGGGTTTATATTAAATGTATGTATATGCAGCCAATCAAACTACAGTATTAAACTACATATATTAGTTAATAAGATTGGAGGTGCCTTATCTTATTGTATGGTAGGCTTAGTCCACCAGGTATAACTAGGATGTAGACACCAAATTATCCTTGTGAGAGGCTAGCTTTCATCACCCAAGTAACTGATGTACCGAGATTAATTCTTGCTTCCTCTTCTTGTTCCTGTCAAAGGGCACTAGCTGTAAAGCCGGAATCCTAATATATGACAGCTATATCAGATGAAACATTTATATATTATTAGATAAGGACCAAGGCTTAATTACCTGTATTTAGTGGCTCGTTCGTGTCGTAACCGGTTCGCCCTAATCTACTTAACATTAACTGGCCAGAAATGATTTGATAAACGGGTTTTGGCAAGGCACTTCCCTTGTTTATGTTGACTGCGTGTTGATGATAGTAGAACACTAATTTGATCTCCATAACACTTCGTCCAAGAGAATTATAGGAGCTGAATTTGCTCCTGCCACTATGATCTTAACAATGGCTGACCTCCCTCACCACTGATGCCTGGCTCTCCTTGTCCAGATGTCAATATGTGATAGAAGGGTCACATTTACTATATTTTGATACTGATAATTAAGTTAATTCAAATGAGATGTATTTATGATGGTAAAAATCCAAAGAGTACGGTATTTAAGAATAATTCCCAACAGAATAGCTGGTGAATTTATAGTACTATGTGGCAATGATATGCCGTTTTCTATTGACGGAAAATTCCATTACAAGCTACGTTTTCTATGGGTTAACTTGTGTATACAACAGCAGCAATATTATCTGCATATTGTAATTTAATATTAGTAAATGGTGTCGGGTTTTCCGACACTTCCAACCACATGGGGGTTTTTATAGGCCATTGCTCCCCCATGCCTCTCTGAGGGGGGCCAGGTTCTGGCTCGTGGTCCCCGGTAGGCCCATAAGAACTCCATACACATGACTGATGTCAGAGTCTGACATTAGCATATCAGCCTGGATAAGCTCCGGGAAGCCTCCGGGTCTCACCCAGAAAATGCCGTTTCATTACATTCAACGCTGGTTTTTTAAATTTTAATCTTTTTCAGGCAGGTTAGATAGAAACAGAGTTGTGGGTGTACCTCTGCGGGCCAGGCAGTCACCCTCCTTTATTGACTTGAGAGTCACTACATTATGAAACTCTTCTGTTATATAGGTGAGTGAAAAACAGTATATATATATATATATATATATATATATATATATATATATATATATATATATATATATATATATATATATATATATATATATATATATATATATATATATATATATATATATATATATATATATATATATATATATATATATATATATATATATATATATATATATATATATATATATATATATATAATAAATAAAATATATATTAGTATATTTTGGTAGCAGTCTTTCCTGTAGACATATATAATTAAATATGACCGAAAAAGTAAGATTAATAATTCTAACACGAATTTTCTCTATCTTTCTTATGTTTCTTTTCACTGTTGATGGTAATTCAAAGATCAATTCTCCAAAATTCATTATTATTTCTAGTCTGACGCGACACTTGAGCGCGTTTCGTAAAACTTATTACATTTTCAAAGACTTTAGTTTACAAACACACAACTGAAACTGAATAGAGCTTACATATCTTCGAGGTTTATATCTACATTTGGGTGAGGTGGCTGAGGTGAAAAACGAACTTTCAACAATGGGTATTCAATGGGTATTAAATTCCAACACAAGACAGAACACGAAACAATGGGTATTGAATGGAAGTAATTGTAGAAAGCCTATTGGTCCATATTTCTTGATGCTTCTATATTGGAGCGGAGTCTTGAAGTGGGTAGAATATAGTTGTGCATTAATTGGCTGTTGATTGCTGGTGTTGACTTCTTGATGTGTAGTGCCTCGCAGACGGCGAGCCGCCTGCTATCGCTGTATCTATTGATGATTTCTGTGTTGTTTGCTAAGATTTCTCTGGTGATGGTTTGTTTGTGGGAAGAGATTATATGTTCCTTAATGGAGCCCTGTTGCTTATGCATCGTTAAACGTTCTTTTTCGGTCATATTTAATAATATATATATATATATATATATATATATATATTTATTTATTATGTTGTACCTAGTAGCCAGAACATCGTACTCGACCTGCTATTCAAGGTCCGATTTGCCTAATAAGCCAAGTTTTCCTGAATTAATATATTTTCTCAAATTTTTTTCTTATGAAATGATAAAGCTACCCATTTCATTATATATGAGGTCAATTTTTTTTTATTGGAGTTAAAATTAACGTAGATATATGACCGAACCTAACCAACCCTACCTAACCTAACCTAACCTAACCTAACCAACCCTCGTTATATTCAAAAAGTTATATTCAATTCAATTCAATGTTTATTCAAAAGAATGTGTGTACAAAGAACTTAAGAGTAAATGTTCAATTGTAGGGAAAGGAGTTACACATACTAATGAAGTCACTATTACACAAAGCGTTTCAGGCAAGTTACATTGTTACAGTAATGTTAAAAGATACATTTCATTGTCCTGTTGAATAATTACTGCACTTCAACTAATTATTTTGTCAACATCTTCCTCTCTGCTCTTTGTCATTGTGATAAATGACTGTATTGCATTACTATGTACTGTGTATGCAGTGACATACAACTTTTTTGTCAAGTATTCAGACATCATCATTATTGGTTCTCGTGTAAGCAACATTCTAGCTGTTTTTTTTTTTCAGGTACATTATTTGTGTTAGCTTATATATGGCAAAATTATATTAATGTATTAAATTGTCTGCTTCCAACAGGACTCGTGTTAATTTCCTCTACTCCTGTAGTAAATCACAAGTGAATGACTGAAGAATACTGGAAAACATTGTTCCTCCACATTTGTTTCCAGATTTATTAAAACTTACCCGAGAAGCTCAGTGTGAAACTACCCTATACTTGGCAGCTCGTAGCCTATGTATCAAAATATCCATATCAAAGGCCTGGTTTTCCATTTCTGATGTAATGATCTTTTTTAAGGTCAGGAACTATATATTTTTTACTTATATTGTTCCAGCATTTTAATAATGTTAAAGCATTTAAAAATCTAAAATTAACACACCATATCAGTGCATTGCTTAATTTTATTATATTAAACAGTAAAGCTAATTTAATTATAAATAAGTATTTTATTTGGTTTCATTTCATTCAAATATTTTGTAATTTCCTAAAGATACCTGTTGCATAATTAGAGTACTTGGCTGAATAATAATAAACTGCTATACCTGAGCCCCATCATTGTTGCACTGCCACTTACAACAAACACAACGCTATTGAAGCAAATGCTTGTGCTACTTTTATTATTCCTTATAAAATATAAGATGAAACAATATATATTTTATAAGGAATAATTGTCAACTTGAAGTTAGTATTAAGAATAGCCAGAGAAAGAATAGCCGACTGTGAGAAGGCCTGAGCCCAGGAGACAGCTGTACATGGTGTAGGTAATGTTTATCTCAATCTCTCGACACTTGTTAACATCCAAACATTTCCAACCAGTAAACTTGTGCTAGGTTCTGGTAGTATAATTTATATCACAATGTAGACAATTTTGACTTTTATAGTGGTATTTAGAATATTGTCAAATTTGGTTCAAACCAAATTTGATGGATGCCAGTTGATTGTTCAGGTGCTGCTGATAGGTACAGTAGTCTTGTCACTTGAGTCTTGTCATCAGTCACGTTTGGTATGATCATTCTTAAATTTATAAAGTTGATACCCAATAACTATCATACACAGGCTATGGAAGTTGATGATGACTTTTAATATTCTCTTCTTTAATATTTTGTTTGATTAATAAAGTTAACTAGTCCTGTGCTGTAAAAGCCTCTTTTGGAGGCATTTACTAACATACTTGGCTAAGGACAACTGCAGCCAAAATTAAATACCAATTGTTCCTCCAACACACTATTTTGTCATAATATTTGACCAAGAATGCAAATACTATTTAGGTAGATCTTAATAGTGTTTGCATTTTTAGTCAAATATTATGTTCCGACAAAATAGACGCTTGGATGAATGCATTGATGCGCCTAACTTGATTTTGGACACATTGGCACTTACCTGGTATGTTAGTAAATACTGTACCTCATTTGATCTCAGTTGTTAGATATATTTGAAGATTATACTCAAAGTCTTTAATGAATTACTTGTTACAGTATTTGTTACTTATTCAAGTTTACCATTGCATGTTAAGAGGACATGAAGATATTATAATGTTTCATTACTGCCCAATGTCTCATTTGGGATTAGATATATTGCTTCAGTTGTTAGCTCTTTGACGTCTGCCTAGGCTTACATAAGGTCTTGTTTCTTCTGTTGTGAAATAGCTGGAAGTTTATGGCTGATGCATATACTCTAGATATTACAGGTAGCCATACTATTTGATTTACTTTTGGTTTTATAAGTTATGTATGGCATGGTGCTCAGTGTATCTCGGCTTCATCATTCACGATTTCATTTAAGGCTGTAAGATTCAGGGCTCTTCTCAAACATCACATTTCATTGTTGATACATTTATTGTGTGGAGCATTTTGGAAATGGTCTTTTTCTGACAGGTAGGAAGAGGTTGAGATTAAAGTGACTTAAAAGCATATTCAGTAATTGATCAGTGTCACTCATGTCACTGTTCAGTAGCAATTGAGACATGATTAACTTGAGTTAATATGCTGCAACATACTTTATCTTTGCAGTTTAGATATATGTGGCTCCAAGATTTTTGGAAATTAGATAGTCATGCACTCGAAAGGTCAATATGTTCTATAGACTTCCTAGTACAGCACTGCACATTTTCTCTATGCATATTGTAGTAAATAATATTAGTTTTGAGCTGTTGAGTTGTTGCATGCAGAAAGTTGTTTGATCAAAGTTATTAAGGTTGCAAAAAATATGCTCTTAACGTGAGTTTACTTTGGCTATATTTGTTACACATGGCATGCGTACTTGTTTTACTCGCAGAGAAATCTTGTGGTGTTTTAATGGTGCTCGTGCATTTGATAAGTAACATTATTATGAGCTCCAAAAAATGTTGTTTTTCTCTATTTTCAAGTTTATTATACAGTGATCATCCACTGCTTGCAGTATTCTCTAATATGTAAATGTTTACTTAAATTGCGTGTCATGTTTGATGGCTTATTTGACAAAGATTAATAAAAGAATAGTAACAAAAAATTCACTTTATTTGATTCAAGATTATTTGTAGATCATGGATTGACCTTAGCCTTATTGATGGAATTTTGTTTTATTATGCATGCATGACAAGTTTGGGAAATGCGTCATGGTTTGCAGACTGTTTTATTGCATAATATAAAGTATCGTTTGTTAAAGATAAGGTAGTATGATGCCTTTTACTGGGTGTTAAGACTTTGTGTAATAGATGCTTCTGTTGAACTTGTTATTGCCAATTAATGACAAAAGCTTCAGTGTAAATAGTTGACATATGTTCCCTTGAAGTTTCTAAGAGGCTCTCAGTTCCTATTTTTGTGAAGCTCACTTTTATTAAACAGCAAAATTCTGCATGAAAGTAGTAAAGTTTTAAAAAATATATGTTTTTGCCATATCTTCATTATTTTGTGAATGTATTCCTCTCTTGTAATCTAGAATAGCCAAGTAATACATAGAAGCTATATTATCCAAAGGTATATATTTTCGAGCAAACTTGTACTGTACTCTTATTAACTATACACTACAGTAATGTATGGTATAATGTTACTGTATTTCTTATTTGGTTTACTTTCCTGTATATGCCAGTTACATTTGATTAATCAGAGCAAATGTGCAAATTTTCAGATGTTTCTCTCACTTTTAATTTCTATTCATTTTTATTGGATTTTGCTGACGCTGTAATCTTTTAGCTCTATACAAACCCTTTTGGGTGTGATTGTACGTGTCCATGTGTACTCACACTGATGCCCCCACATTGTCATTATTATTATTACTGTATTATTATTGCTTTCCACTTTCGTGAGAGGTTGAGGCATCAGCCTGCAGGTATTAGATAAATACAATAATTTTTAATATTCGTAATATGTAATTTTTTTTTATATTGTACAGTATTGTATTTTAATATTCTGTTGGTCAAAAGACAAATGAAGTTAGTTCAGTGGCTTCCCTATGTGTGTGTGTGTGTGTGTGTGTGTGCATGTACTGGTATTTCTTGGTATTCATGCCGGGTACCCCAAATTAGAATGCCAGTCATATGGTGAACACAATTCAGCTCAGATTTTGAGTGGCAGGCAGTGTGCTGAATGTGAATGTTTATAATCATTTTACATTTGCATGGCCATGTACTGTGGATGATTTGACTACAGACTTAAGCAGTCTAAACACTTTTAGTCACCTTGACAGGTTGGACAAATGCAATATGGTAACTAGATATATATTTGATGTAAATGGTTACAGCGGTGGTGGTTGTATGGTACGACAGTATCGTGACAAGGCGAGCCATAAGATGAGGCTGTAGAGTGCAGATGGTGGCAGAGATGGTGATGGCTGGTAGCTGTAATGGTTGTATGGTACGACAGTATCGTGACAAGGCGAGCCATAAGATGAGGCTGTAGAGTGCAGATGGTGGCAGAGATGGTGATGGCTGGTAGCTGTAATGGTTGTATGGTACGACAGTATCGTGACAAGGCGAGCCATAAGATGAGGCTGTAGAGTGCAGATGGTGGCAGAGATGGTGATGGCTGGTAGCTGTAAACAAATTTGTCTGCTGGGATGGCTAGGTTTGAGGCAGATCAAAGGTGGTTTTGCTTCTGGCTGAGCTGTGTTGAGAATGCTCCTGATGCTGTGGTCAGACAGCCTTACAATCCTATCGACCTGACTCTGTTTGGAGCAACGCCGTTCATTATTTGATTAATGAAGAAACTGCTCAATTCTGGGAAACGTGTGGACATCATTTGTAGCACTTGCAATTCCTGCAGATGTGTAAGTAGCTGCTACACAATTTCTGACGTAGTCGTTACAACTGTTTATAGTCATACGCAGCACCGTACAGTACAGAGATCGCTCACTAATTCAGATCATATAGAGTGGATCCCATCTGTTGTATGATGACCAGAATCTTGTATTCTGATTGTCTTACATTGTGTCCACAAAAATTTCAAAAGTTGTAGTTTTTCTTGCAATCAGTAGAATACTTGTTTCCACATACAGTATATTAATAACACAATTACATTAGTATTACTTCTTAATTTGATTTACTGTAAATTGAACTAAAATTAACTTTAACTTGTTAAGAGTCGAGAGGTGTCACGGTCACCCGCTGCATGAATGTGATCACATCACAGAAGACATGGATCCATTCTTCATTAAAATTTTGGGACCTATCATATACTAAAATAGATCATTTACTGTATATATTAAAAAGAAAGAATCATACATAATAGGTTGTGTACTATAATATGAATACAGTATATATAACGTATAGAAATTTACCGGTAATTAATTCAAACACAAATTTCCAAAATGGTGCATCTATTTGTGTGACATTTTCTGTTCACTTCTGTGGGGTTTCTGGGCCAGCCATCGTAAAAAGTACAAAAAATATTCTTTCAATATGTTTCACTCAAAACTAAGGTAACATTTCAATTATTGCTTCTGCTAGTGGACCATTGGAAAGAAAACATGCGATAGTGAGCATTGAACAGAAAATAGAGCTTATTAGAAAGGTTTAGCAGCTTTCCCAGAAGTATTGTGGCCATAGAGTACAAAGATGATTGGTGGATGTGTTCTATGAACTTCCCAGTTATTTGGGACTAGTCAATCCCACATGGTTTGGGTAACAAGTAAATAACTATTAAAATATATAAATAAATAAAATTTAGTAAACCTATGCTATGTGTAAATTCAGACAAATTAATTTTTAAAACACTAATATTCAAACAGTCAAATGGCAGATTTGTAGTGTAAGATTTGCGCAACCAAGTCATTGTTTCAGTGTGCATTGCCACAATATCTCGATCTGTCCTTGTGATTCCTTGCAGTTATTGTGTGTTTTCTGCACTTTCTGTATTATATTCTTGCATGGTGTCTCCCCAAACGTTTTGCACATTACCTTGCTGACTATTTTCGTTAAAAAAAAGTTAATTTTTGAGTCATGAATGTCATAATATTTTAACCATATACAGTACAGTACAGTACAGGTAAGTGTGCACTACTCGAATACGCTTGAGGTTTACAGAAACACAGTATTCACACAGCAAGGGTTTACTTACAAAATTATATACAGTGGGTCTAAATAAAAATATAAATGATGTACTGTACAGTATATAAATACTTTTGAATATGAGCTGGCATGTGGTGCAAGAAATTGGTAAATATGGAAATGATGCTCCTTCCTTTACTTCCTAACTCATATATTGTAGTATAAATGTCGCACTGTAGAAGATTACACTACACAAATTTAACATTTTACATTTTTTTTTGAGTATTGGTTAATTAGAATTTGATTTAAAGATATTCTACTGTATGTACTAAATTTTAGAAGTATATTTGCCCAAATTTACATGAAGGGCACCATGTCGAGTGACTTCAGTGGAGACAAGAAGCCGACATCTTGTCAAAGGTCCCACCCCCTTGAATTAAAAATTCCAATGGAATTTTTAATTCAAGTATTGTCTAGGCACAAATAAATTACACTGCATAACATACCAGATCCTTCCTATGCAAATCTTGGATTGATTTCCCTTTAGATTTCTCTGGCCATGTTACTTCTGAATTTTGTATAAAAAAAAGCTGTTACTCCTGTAATTCTTTCATTTTTTTTATGACATTTACTGTTATAACCACACTGTTTTACCAAGCTGTCTTGTACTATGCCTTCTCGGGTGTTGCAGTGCCCTCTTGGGTGTTGCAGTGCCACCCTCTCGGGTGTTGCAGTGCCCTCTTGGGTGTTGCAGTGCCACCCTCTCGGGTGTTGCAGTGCCCTCTTGGTGTTGCAGTGCCACCCTCTTGGGTGTTGCAGTGCCCTCTCGGGTGTTGCAGTGCCCTCTCGGGTGTTGCAGTGCCCTCTCGGGTGTTGCAGTGCCCTCTCGGGTGTTGCAGTGCCCTCTCGGGTGTTGCAGTGCCCTCTCGGGTGTTGCAGTGCCCTCTTGGGTGTTGCAGTGCCCTCTAGGGTGTTGCAGTGCCATCTTGGGAGTTGCACTGCCCTCTAGGGTGTTGCACAGCCCTCTTGGGTGTTGCAGTGCCTTCTAGGGTGTTGCACTGCCCTCTAGGGTGTTGCACTGCCCTCTAGGGTGTTGAACTGCCCTCTATGGTTATGCACTGCCCTCTCGTGTGTTGCAGTGCCCTCTAGGGTGTTGCACTGCCCTCTAGGGTGTTGCACTGCCCTCTAGGGTGTTGCACTGCCCTCTAGGGTGTTGCACTGCCCTCTTGGGTGTTGCAGTGCCTTCTCAGGTGTTTGCAATTCTTCTTAGGTTTTCTTGGTGTGTACAACAGCTGATTTCACTTTCTCAATTCTCTGTTACTAATTTCTTAATTTCGTTTTAGTAAATTGGAGATAATTTTTCAATAGAGATAACTTTACCTTGAGCTTTTTAGTTTGTTACAAATTGATTTTAATCAAGTTACCTCTGAAGCAAGTAAGTGATTATTAAAAGAAGGCATCAAAAGTTATCTCTGAAAGCAATCTTCCTTTCTATTTGTTTCTGCAATTGAACTATACATATTTAAGTTGATGAGTGTTAACCACTGAAAAATTAAAATAGGTAAAATTATGATTGAGGAGGCTTCGAGTGTTATCTTGTAGCAAAACATGCTGTAACATAGTCATTGATTATCCAGCAATACTGGTAATTAAGAATATATTGGTTATGAATAAAGGGTGAAGTAGGCTTTATTGTCTTATGATGGTAAATATTGTATTGTTAACTTGTTGCTCACTTAATTAGCATACAACATTTTAAAGGATAGCTGTTAGTTTTTTGCATTTGACTGTGTTATATATTGCATGCTGTGTTGTAATCTATCTTGTTTTTGGTCATCAAAGTATATTGTAATTAAACTTACTCTAAGGTATACTCATTTAGTGTATCATATTTATTAGTGTTATAAGGTATTATATGTTTGAGTGTGTTTCCTCTATCAAATAACTACTGTAGTTTGACTGTGTTATATTTTCTTCTGTCAGAAGGTAGATTAATTGCTGGTATTGACAGTATTCTAATGTACTGAAGACATTACACAGGGATAATTAGACAGGACATCCCTTTTCCAATTATTTGTGTATCTTCACATTGTAGGATCACAATGAATCCTACTTATTCCTGGTGATTCTTATTAGCTTTTATATTTCATTTTGTCTTTGTATTTATATGAAAGTAGATAACAATATACAGTATTTTCTGGGGGAAGCCCCTATGGCGCCCCGGAGCTATCCAGGCTGATAGGGATAGTCCTAACTTTTGGCATCAATCGATGTGGGTGGAGTTCTAGGCCTACCGGGGACCACGCCCAAAACCTGGCCCCCCTCAGAGAGGCACGAGGAGAAATTGCCTATAGAAATGCACATGTAATTTTAGAGCATTCGGTATCTGCCATCGACCGGGAGAAGCACCCAGAAACGTAAGCGCCTCAAAACAAACCCCTATTCTGGTAAAACCAATGAAAATAACGAAACAAATGGACAGAACTTCCCCAAGGGAAAACCAGCAAACAAGCATGAGGTCACACGAGCTGCGCTGCATGTCTGCGCAGCTACCCCCTTCCCGGGAGGGGACGGGGTAGCCAAAGACCCTCACGCTGGCAATCCACACCTTCAGTTCATTGGCTGATTGGATAAGGCTTAGTCGTTGTGGCTCCAGATCCAGATTCTCTTTGTGCTGTGCCTGGGTTCAGTACTTCCCGTTGGTGGTGTGTGAGCTGGGAGACATATTCCAGGGTACTCGGGCTGCATGCGCTTAGGGCTAACTTCCCTAAGAAGTGCCCTGTAAGTACTGCCCGTGGGGCTTGGGGGTTACCTTCAACAAGTCCCCTTGGGTCTACCTCTGTTGGTCTTTCGCTGCTTGGTGATTGACCGCCCGAGTGTTTGGGGGATTCCTCCCTTGTTTGCCTTGGTAGTTTTTGCACTGGTAGGGGCACGGGGTACTGCCCAGCTAGTTTTCACCTATAACAGTGGCTGGCTCTGTTCCCTCTGGGTACACTGTCCTCTTGTGAGGTTTTTCTTTTCTCTTTGTTTTTGCCTGGCAGGAGGGGGGGGTCTGCCTTGGTGTCCCTCCCCCCTTTATCTTAGGGTTGTTTGTGTTTGGTGGTACCCCCTGCTTCGCCCTCGCGAGTGGACACGTCCCAAGGGTTCAGCTTTAGCAGTGTTGGTTGGAAGCTTGGATGTGTCGGTTAGCAGTACCCTGCCTGGAATAACCCTTAGCAGACCCAGTCTAAGGGCCCCTGGAAAACTCCGCGGGATGCTCAGGTCCAATGGATGTGACCCCTGAGTCTCCTCTCACTTTTTGTGAGTTTGAGGGTTGCTCTGTCCCCTTGTCTCAGGGCGACTCTCATTGTTTTTGCCTCTGTCATGCTGCCTGTTGGGTCAGGTACACGTTTGACCCAGAGTCCTGTGAGTTTTGTTGCTTGTATGTGACTCAGTTCACCCAATCTGATGATGATGTTATTCGAGTGCAGGCAGCTCGCGCATTGCAGGATAGGTTTAGGTCGTCCACAGGGTTATTAAGTCTAGCCAGCCTGCGGTCTATCCCCATGCCTATGACGTTGGTAAGTTCCCTGCTGTTGCTGGCATTTTTGGGAACATGTCTTGGGCTGACATTCGGGCACGAGGTTTTTGGCGGTCGAACAGGGTCCTGGCTGCACGCTACCTTGTGGACGTTCTTGGGCCTAGTTGGGCCTGTGTCGCTTTGGGTCAGCGGCTGCAGCCTGTCTCAACTTCGAGTTGAGGTGTGGAACACCGACCGCCTCCCGGGTAAGTCCCCTTTTTTCCTTATTCTTTGGTGAAGTAGCTCCGGGGAGCCATAGGGGCTTCCCCCAGAAAACCAGCGTGGAATGTTATGAAACGCCATTTTCTGGGTGAATCCGGAGGCTCCCCGGTAACCCTCCCTCCCTGCGGTAGGCGGTTTTTGCATTTTTTTTTTATATCCAGCCTCGGAATTGGAGGTGTTGATCGCCAGCGCGAGGGTCTGGGGCTCCCCCTTCCCCCCTCCTGGGGACCGGGGAGCTGCGCAGACATGAGGCACAGCTCGTGTGACGTCATGCTTGTTTGCTTGTTTTTCCTTGGGGGAGTTCTGTTCATTTGTTTTGTTATTTTTGTTGGTTTTACCAGAATTGGGGTTTGTTTTGAGGTGCTTACCTTTCTGGGTGCCTGTCCCGGTCAATGGCAGATATAGAATGCTCCAAAATCACATGTGCATTTCTATAGGCCATTGCTCCTCGTGCCTCTCTGAGGGGGGAAGGGGCCAGGTTCTGGCCGTGGTCCCCGGTAAGCCTAGAACTCTACCCACATCGACTGATACCAAAAGTTTAGACTATCCCTATCAGCCTGGATAGCTCCGGGAGCCTCCGGGACTCGCCCAGAAAATGGCATTTCATTACATTCAATGCTGTTTGTTTCTAGGGGGGGGGGGGAGGCATCGGCTCCCCGGAGCTATCCAGGCTGAATGGATATGTATAACTTTCTGGCATCATTCAATGTGCTTGGAGTTTTTGCCTACTGAGGACCATGAGCCAGAACCTGGCCCCCCCTCAAGAGGCATGAGCAATGGCCTATAGAAGACCCATGTGGTTGGGAGCATTCTATGTCTGCCATCAAACGGGACAAGCACCCAGAAAGATAGGCACCCCAAAACATACCCCTATTCTGGTGAAACTAATTGGCACTGAAAGCCGAACGAGTGGACAGAACTCCCCCAAACGAAAATTGGCAAATGTCATCATGCTGCTGCGCCCCTGTCTGTGCAACCCTCCCCTCCAGACCTCTCCAGACCCTCGCACCAGCGACCCAACCTTCAGTTCTTGGCTGATGTGATTCTGGGAAAGTCTTGTGCCTTTGGCTCCGGAATTTTTTGTCTCAGTTCTGTGTCTGGTGGCATGGGCTGTCTCTCCAGGTAGTGTGTGAGCCAGGAGTAATATTCCAAGGTACTCGGGCTGCATGCATCTAGGGCTACCTTCCCTAGGTGCTCGGTAAGTACTGCCCTTAGGGCTTGGGGGCCACCTTCCACAATTCACCATGGTATCTGCTTCTGCTGTGCCTTTTACTGCTCGGTACTTGGCCGCCCTCGGGGTCTGCTTGGGTTTTCTTGCCCTTGTGTGTCCCTGGGTAAGGGGTAGTTTTTGTTACTGGTAGGTGCTCGGTTTACTGCACAGCAAGTTTTGACTAATTATAGCGGCCGGCTCTGTTCTGCCTGGGTAAGTTGTCCTTTTGTGGGGGTTTTCTTTTGTTTGTGTTTTCTGCATGGTGGGGGGTCTGCCTTCGTGGTTTCCCCTTAGCAGTTGTAGGGGTGGGGGGTGGTGTGTGTGTGTATTTTCTTCTGTGTTTTGGTGGTATACCAAAACACAGCCATTTTCTGGTTGAGTCCCGGAGGCTCCCCGGCTTCCCTCCCTCCCCACCCCCAAGTTGGCAGTGTTTTTTCGCGTGTTTTGACATCCAGCCTAAGAACTGAAGGTTGAGTCGCTGGCGTGAGGGTCTGGGGCTCTCCCTTCCCCTTCCCGGGGAGGGGGGGTTGCGCAGACAGCAGCGGCGGCATGATGACGTCGTGCTCGTTTGCTAATTTTCGTTTGGAAAGTTCTGTCCACTCGTTCGGCTTTCGGTAGCAATAGTTTCATCAGAATAGGGGTTTGTTTTGGGGCGCCTACCTTTCTGGGTGCCTGTCCCGTTTGAGGGTAGACACAGAATGCTCTCAACCACAGGGGGTTTCTATAGGCCATTGCTCCTCGTGCCTCTCTGAGGGGGCCAGGTTGTGGCTCATGATCCCTGGTTGGCAAGAACTCCAAGCACATTGACTGATGCCAGAAAGTT